GTGTGTGTGTGTGTGTGTGTGTGTGTGTGTGTGTGTGTGTGTGAGAGCTGCGGGCCGCAGCCACACAGAGGCATGAGGAAGGGGGCTGATAACCTCTGCTGGTGGCCAGAGGAAAATATCAGGAAGTGCTGTTCCTGCCTTCAGCTAGCTATTCAGCATTTAGGGTTTAACTTGTTTTATTTTGGAGGTCATATAAAATTTTGTGATTTTAGGGGGTTTTGATTGAAAACTTTTGTTTTAACTTTTGAAGTTGAGACCACGCCCATGTAGATCGTCCAGCAAATAAAAAAAGACATTTTGATCGCACCGTCTGCTCTGTCTCGGTTTTCTCTGATGTTATTGTTTACAGCATTCTTTATGTCAATGCAATCTTTGTAATGTTTGGCAGTTTACCAGTTTTACTTCAAGAATATCCAGTCTGGAAATAATCTGCGACCAGTATGATACAAGCAAGGTTTTATGTGATTTTTATATATTTAAAAAATGTAGTTTGAACAGCTCCAGTAATGATCAGCAATTTATTATAGAACTTGAATTAAGTTCTAAATCTAAAATTTTAACTGATGTAAAGACTGTTATTTTAAAAATAATGTGTATTTCTTTACTAATATTTTTGTCGTTTTAAAGAACAATATATACATATATATATATATATATATATGCAAGTGTGCGAAACCTGCTCATCTTGGATTAAAAATTACACAAATTATTTAACGAATGTTACAATTTATGTTTTTTCTCTGGATCCCTAAATTAATATTTTTAAACAGTTTTTGTTCCCTGAAGTTTGTTTATTGTCTCATTCCTAATCCTGATTTGTCTATATTTTACATACAAAACAGAATAAAGACAGCCTAATACCTGCCCTCTGAYGGTCAAGTTCAAACATTTTATCACCAAGTTATTGAATAAATTAATTCATTTAAGATATTTATTTATTTTTGCATATGTAAAACCTGAATATTATTACAACATTGTTCCCAACAATTGTGAGCAATGAAGGAATGTTTTATAGTAAACTTAGTCATATTGATGTGTGTGTGTGTGTGTGTGTGTGTGTGTGTGTGTGTGTGTGTGTGTGTG